ACCACAAGTCAGACTCCAAAACCGACACCAGGACCACAAGATAGACCCCAAAACCAAATACCAGGACCACAAGTCAGACTCCAAAACCAAAGACAAGGACCACAAGGCAGACCCCAAAACAAAAGACCAGGACCACAAGGCAGACTCCAAAACAAAGACCAGGACTACAATGCAGACCCCAAAACCAAAGACTTGATGGTCTCTTTACTCTGCAGCATCCTGACATCACGACTAGTGCTGCAACAAATCCGCTGAATCTTGTCTCAGAAGGAGCTTTATTGATTGATCTATTAGTTGTCATAAAACTGGAAAATCCCTGTCCCAGTTTCTCCCAGTTCAAGGTCTTGTTTTGTCCGACCAACAGTCCAAAACACAAAGACTTTCAGTTACCTGTGAATCTACATGGCTTAAATTTACATTTATTCATTTCGCTGACGCTTTTATCCAAAGCGACTTACAATCACATGTCAGAGGTCGCACGCCTGTCTTGCTCAGGGACACAATGGTGGATGGGTCACAGTGGGGAACTGAACCCGGGTCTCTCCAACCAACAGCAGGCATCTTATCCACTCCACCATCACCACCCGCAATGATGCATTGATTATCTAAAAAGTTGTTTTTCTGTCGATCAGCTGACTAACTGTCTCAGCTCTTGTGTGCCAAAAGATGAAAAATATTAAATGTTCTGTAAAAACTGGGAACATGGAAACAAACCACTTCCTCCAGACAAGGAGGCGTAACTGTCAGATCTGTGGATTTACTTCTCAGAGCAAAATGAATCTGTTTCACATCTACTTATCCAAGGAATTTTCAAATCAGCGAGACTGGAGTTGGCTACTAGACTCAGACTGTTCGTCTGATCCAGGAGGCTTCTTCAGATCTGACTGACTGGCAGGGAGTCCCAGCTGTTTAACCTCTGCGGGTCGCTATGAAGCTGACGGACACCGCTGGTTTGAAGTGTGGGACAGTCGGCCGTCTCTGCTGTCTTCTGTTAGCCTGCTGTTGGACCGGATCCTACAGATCCCGTCTGACCCTGCACTACAGCCCGAACCTGCAAACCCTGTCAGACCTGTTCCAGGTCCAGAGGTCTGACAGCAAACTGCACCTACAGGTTTAAACTGGGAGTGACGGACAAAGGAAGGACAGGGTCCTACACAGACAGGTCAGGTCACGTTACAGAAGCAGCTACGCATCATTAAAGGTTTCCTTTTGGTCACATCACACACAGTGTAAGCCCCGCCCACCTTAGCCCACCAGGTGGACAGCATGAAGTACGTGTTGACGTTGTCCTCTCCGAACTGCTGGGCCACGTAAAGTCCCAGAGACCCGTACGAGTCGTAGATGTTCCTCTTGGTGAGGTCGGACAGGACGGCGTGAGCGCTGTTCAGCTCCTTAAACTTCTCCGCCGCCTCCGGGTTGTCCGGGTTCTTATCCGGGTGGTACCGCAGCGCCAGCTTCCTGAAACCACACATGCTTCAGTGTTAACGCACGCCGCTGCTGGTCAGAGCAGACTGATCACCTGGTGCAGGTGAGAGGGCGGGGCTGCGGTGGGCTCACCTGTAGGACTTCCTGATGTCGTCATGGCTGCAGCCTTTCTCCAGAGCCAGGATCTGATACAGAGACTCTCCAGAGGTGGACAAAGTTCGCTGCCTCCCGTCAGACATCCTGACACCATCACCTGTCGCAGGTGCACACAGTTTAAAACATTTACAACAAGCAGCACCTAACTCTGAATATTTATGACATTTTGATATTTCATGACCTTGTGACTGATTATTAATTCTAATTAATTAATAATATGTAAATTGTTCAATGTTTTACGTCTGCAACCTTGTTAACTGTGCTGCTGCCTGTCTTGGCCAGGAAACTTTTAACTTTTAGGAGTTTTATTCCTGCTTAAATAAAGATATAGTAAATAATAATAATTATCTAGCATTAAGAGGAGCATCAGAGATGTTCTGACAGAAAACCAACGTTTACATCAACATCCAATCACAAACTGCTAAACTGATCGATCCTAATTAATCAAACGTTCACTGTAATCAAACCCACATTTAATGAATATACACTGTGACCTCTCACACGTATGGAAGCCCAAAGTGTTCCATATCAAATGTTTTTCATCAGTTTTGTTTTCATTCTTACATTTTAAAGTTTATTGCAGACTGTTTTTTTTCTGTACACATCTAACATGTTGTTTATATTTATTTAAACACAGTAATATATTTGCACAATTAATACATGTGATAATTTATTTCATAATTATATATTTAACATTAACCCAGCACACTAGACAGACGATGTGAACCTTTGCTCTGTATTGCTATTTATCATTACACCTATGTTAATACTGTAAATATCCACATTTATTATCATTTATTATTAGATTTATATATTTTACTTTCTTATATTCTCTATCTGCAACAAAGAATTTCCCCTCAGAAAATGATTCTGATTCAACATAAACAACACACTTGTTTGATCCATGCCTCCTGACGCATATGAATGTTAACTACCAACATTTATATCTACAGACACGGCGGCTCCTCTTACATGGACGCCACCACGTTGCACTGCCAGGTTTCTACAGTAGCCCAAATGGACAAACTGCTCTACAGAGCGTGTTTCATCACTACGGTGAATATGTACGAGGAAGAAGAACAAGTAAGACTAGTATCAGTAGCAGTAGTGGAAGTTGTCGTCTGGTTTATTAGAAATGTGGACACGTGTTGTTTATCTCAGAGCCGACAGAGCGCGTCGGCCACCGTAGCTTCTCCTGCTCGCCCACAAAGGGAGGGGTGAGCGATGACTGAGCAGCTGGTTGCAGTTCACAACCTTCACCACTAGATGGCACTAAAACTTACACGCTGAACCTTTAAATTAAAGGAGACCTATTATACTGCGTTTGCAGTCCTATCTTGTCGTCTTTAGCAGCTTTACATGATTCAAAGTTTAAAAAAAGAAATTCTATCTTGTACTGGCTCTTCATGCAGGCCTTCATTTCAGCCTCTGTCTGAAGATGCTTCTGTCTCTTTAAGCCCCCCCCCCCCAAAGCCCACTGTCTTCTGATTGGCCATTGTCTTATGCGTTTACCAGGTTGCTGCAGGATAGGGTTGTATGTTCCTTTGTGGGCGTGGCCAGCATTCTCTGCCTAGAGGACGCTGCCACAGTAAATAAATACGGGTCAACAAACGACATATATTGAATTTTTCTGGTGAGGACAGTCTCGAAGATTTAATCTGTGGTCACATGGGACACTGAGCAACAAGCAGAGAAACACGAGCAGCAGCTGAAGCCGCCATCTCACTGTCATAACGCATTCCCCTAACCAGAACCCTAAAACCAAGTCTTAACCCTCACACAGCGTCTCTATCCGTGACGACTTCACATCAGGTCCGTGTGCAGATTCTAACTTCCTGTTTCTGACAATGACTTGACTTAATCACTAACTGAAGGATCCCAGTGGTTCCTGTGTCACTGTGAGCTGCAGCAAAGCGTCCAAGTTAATTACTGAGTGGTTTTATTAATCAATAAAACAAACTGTGGAAACTGTTTACCTCTAAAATAAACTGCCCCCCTCACCTGTTCAAACTAGAACAAGACCTCAGTGTAGAGTTTCCTGCAGCAGCTGATCTGAACACTGTTCAAACCCACGGAACTTTATTTAACCTGCAGTGAAGATACAAAGAGTCTGGAGGAAATGAAGACATGAAGAATATTTCAGGAACATCAGCTCCAGATGTCTCTGTCCTGTGGAAACCACGCATCTGTCTGCCAAGTTTTATGTTTTCAGATAAACTGAAGTTTACAAAGTATTTTGGAAAAATATCCAACAGTGAGGTCCTTAAAAACCTGTTCAAGTTTTCACTGTCACCGGGCAGAAAACATGATTTCAGCAGTTCCCACAGAGATACGTGTTTTTCTCTGGACACAGGTGAGACGTGATACATATGATGATGTCACACAAGTAGGAAAACTATATTTCTGCCTGTAAAGAAAACAAAGGCTAAATGTGAGTGTTAAAGAGCAGTTTAGTGTTGCAGAGGGAGCTGGTACCTGCCTGTAGAAGCCTCAGAGCGTCCCGACGAAGCGTCTACCTGTGGGCTACCTGTGGGCTACCTGCTCAGGTGTTTGTGCTCCGACCGTGGACAGAGGATCCCTGACAGCCTCCATCAAACATTCAGCAGCCGCCCGACTCAGGTGACCACGAGCCGCCACGCCTGCTCAGGTTACACTGAGACGCTCTGATGGACGCTTTGTGACGGGGAGGGGAGGACGCCATGACGACCAGGTGAGTCAGGGATGTGGGGGAGGGGCTTGGAGGTGTCAAAATAGATAGATAGATTATAGTAACACAACAGTTGTATTAATAATAATAATACCACACTTACAGTAGTAGTACTGCCAGTACCGGCAGTAACAGTAATAATACCACACTTACAGTAGTAGTACTGCCAGTACCGGCAGTAACAGTAATAATACCACACTTACAGTAGTAGTACTGCCAGTACCGGCAGAAACAGTAATAATACCACACTTACAGTAGTAGTACTGCCAGTACCGGCAGTAACAGTAATAATACCACACTTACAGTAGTAGTACTGCCAGTACCGGCAGAAACAGTAATAATACTACACTTACAGTAGTAGTACTGCCAGTACCGGCAGTAACAGTAATAATACCACACTTACAGTAGTAGTACTGCCAGTACCGGCAGTAACAGTAATAATACCACACTTACAGTAGTAGTACTGCCAGTACCGGCAGTAACAGTAATAATACCACACTTACAGTAGTAGTACTGCCAGTACCGGCAGAAACAGTAATAATACCACACTTACAGTAGTAGTACTGCCAGTACCGGCAGAAACAGTAATAATACTACACTTACAGTAGTAGTACTGCCAGTACCGGCAGTAACAGTAATAATACTACAGTTACAGTAGCAGCGTGTCCTGTCTCAGGTAGGAAGTGAGAACAAACGCAGGTGAGTGATGTCGTGTTTCTCTTTATTTGAATCTTCAGGTGTTTTTGTTTTTGACAGTTTGACATTCAGCAGGTGTATTAAAGTGGAATAATAAAGTTTTGAAAGATCAAATCAGGAGCAGGAAGTCAATCAGAGTTCGTAGCAGGCCGTCGTCTGAGGTCATGCTGCTCCTTTAGAACCCTGAACACAAGAACAAAGAGAACAGGAGACGTGGAACGTGATGGACGATAGAGAACAAACGTGTGATATAATGAACGCTGAGCGTGGTCATTACAGAGAAGGAAATACTCACAGCTGATTGGTCCAACAGTGATGGGAAGCTGATTGGGTGAAGCTGCGGACCGAGCCTGTCGTCTGGAACAGTTCTGTAGAGGAAAACAGAAAGAACGTTTATTTTTAGTTTTATTGGTAAAGAACGTTTATTAACAGACGTTACAGTGTGTTTCACAGCAAAAGAAACAGACACGATTTAATAAAGACACATAAAGACAAATAAAGATCGATGCAGTTCATTTCAGACCTCTGAAACCTTCTAGGGACCCTCTTAAGTTCTGTTAGAACCTTTTTTAAAAGCCTGTAGGACCTCCATGGGAACATTGAGAACCTCACTAAGGACCCCAAAACACATCTACTCTATAACCTCTTAACTTTTTAAATGACCAGTTGGAACCTCTGAAGGACCTGTAGAACCTTAAGAACCTCTAGAACTGCCTAGACGACTTGTGGAACCACCCTAAAACATCTAGAGCCTCTAGAACTTATTGGAGGACTCATGGGAACATCCAAGAGCCTTGTTGAGGACCTTTGAGGACCTTTGAGACACCTATACTTTTTAAGAATTTGTGGGACTGCATGTTTTAACAATCTCTAGAACCTTTAGAACCTTTTTCAGAACCTAGAACCTATGCAATCTATGTAAGAATCCGTAAACCTTTAGAACCTATTTAAGAGCCTGTGGGACCCACTCAAGAACCTCTGGACCCTTTTAAAGAACCTGTGGGATCTCTTCAAGAGCTTCTAGAACTTCTTTAAGGATTGATGGGAACCTCCTCATGACATCGAGAGCATTGTGAGGTCCAATAAGAATACGTTATGAACCTTTAGAACCCATTTAAGAACATGTGAAACCACTCAAGAACCCCAAGTACCTGTGGGAACTTATTAAGTATTATTAAGTAACCACTACCTCTTTATGAACTCATGAAACCCTCTTAAAGATATCTAAAACATAATTAATGACCTGAGGAGAACCTTTGTAACTTGTTTTTGAAAAGTGTTCTACAAATAAAGATTATTATATTATTATTATTATTATTAAGATCCCCTAAATCCTCTTTAGGGTCTGTGCCTCTTAAAAACACCTATAACATCTTTTAGAACCCATGGAACCAGAACCTGACCCTGGACCCTCCTTGAAGACCCTGCAGATCTTCAGCACGGTTCGGACAGTTGACCGTTGACTGGTCTGTGTTCTGTAAAGGAGAACCTGGGTTCCTGTGTGTAGAACAGGACCACCTGCGGTTCACTCACGGGGCTGCAGGGGGCGCTGTCCCGGTCACACAGGCTGATCCTGCAGTGCAGATAAACGTTCTCATAGGTCCCAAGGAACAGGAAGAGCAGCGCAGAGAAGCGAGCTCGCTGCGACAGACCGCTTTCATCCACCGTCACATTGCGACGGTCCACCGGACACCTGGAGGAGAGAGCCAATCACAGGGCTGCTGTAAGAACACACCTGCCTAGCAGAACTTTTATTTTGAAAATCTGCCCTCAGACTGACTGAAGGTTAATGGTTTCCTGGATCTACAGCTGTGTGTAATGTTCTCCGTGAAGAAAACCAAACTGTCAGTTGATAAAAGTGTTTTGATCTTCAAAGTAAAATAATAAATAATGTAAATTCTTTGCTGCCAGTAGCAGATGTTCAGGTCGGCGTCCTGTGGGCTGAAGGGTTAAGGTGCCGACCGCATGTCATACTCCTTCCTGTATCTCTACACTGACTGTCAAAATAAGGCACATTGTTGTTCAGATCATCGTGCTTCTACTGTAGAATAACTCTTCAAACATCTTTTTATCTCAAAATAAAGCACAAAGTAAACTAAGTGAATGGTTACATACTTGGAGTAATTATATTTCTTCTCTGATAGAAGTAATACTGTTTGAACATTGAACATTCTTTTTCTTTTTCGATCTCATTGTCATCAAGTGTTGGATAAATAACTTTTAACACTATTATTTTTGTGGTCATTTTTAGGGCTGCAACTAACGATTGTTGTCATTGTCTGTTAATCTTATTTTTACTTACTTGTTTTGTCCAACCAACAGTCCGAAACCCAAACAGCATCATATTACTGTCATTTTAAGGAAGGAAAGCAACAAATCCTCCAACACCTTCTCTCTCCTTTCGTCACATTTGGACGCTTGGTTAAGACCCCTTTGTGTCGCTTTTAATGCCCTGTGTACCTTTAGCGTTGTTTTTGTATGTGTGGGGCTCCACAGTCTAGTTAGCAACAATAAATATGCAACCTCTGGTTAGACTTTCAAATTAAAACTGGTGGTTAAGTTGTGAAACATTGCAATTTGGTTAGGTTTAGGAAAAGATTGTGGTTTGGGTTAAAATAACTACGTTACTTAACTTACTGACTTGGTTTAAAGTCCAGTTTCTGGCCCTCCGTCCACCTCAAACACCTCCTTAGTCGGACTTTCCTACACCTACCTTTAGCGTTCATAAACGACGCTACAGGGCTTCCCCCTGTGCACTGGACTATGCCGCTAAGGGTTCCCCAGTGTGTTAAAAAAATGAAGCCAACGGGTCTTGACCATGTGTCCATATGTGACGAGTTGGGGAGGGAGAACGGTTAAATCCTACTATTTGAGAGGCTGCAACCATGAAATTGTAGGCATTTCAAACAATCAACTTCTCTCAAGAAATTTCTCTGATGATCGACTAATCAATGAATCCTAAATCATCCTAAATAATTGCAGCATGTCAGTCTGGACTGTTTTTATCAGTCTGGACTGTCTTTATCTGTCTGGACTATTTTTATCAGTCTGGACTGTCTTTATCAGTCTGGACTGTTTTTATCAGTCTGGACTGTTTTTATCAGTCTGGACTGTCTTTATCAGTCTGGACTGTTTTTATCAGTCTGGACTGTCTTTATCTGTCTGGACTATTTTTATCAGTCTGGACTGTCTTTATCAGTCTGGACTGTTTTTATCAGTCTGGACTGTCTTTATCTGTCTGGACTATTTTTATCAGTCTGGACTGTCTTTATCAGTCTGGACTGTTTTTATCTGTCTGGACTGTCTTTATCTGTCTGGACTATTTTTATCAGTCTGGACTGTCTTTATCAGTCTGGACTGTTTTTATCTGTCTGGACAGTTTTTATCAGTCTGGACTGTTTTTATCAGTCTGGACTGTTTTTATCTGTCTGGACAGTTATTATCTGTCTGGACTGTCTTTATCTGTCTGGACTGTTTTTATCAGTCTGGACTGTTTTTATCAGTCTGGACAGTTTTTATCTGTCTGGACAGTTTTCATCAGTCTGGACAGTTTTTATCTGTCTGGACTGTTTTTATCTGTCTGGACTGTTTTTATCAGTCTGGACAGTTTTTATCAGTCTGGACAGTTTTTATCTGTCTGGACAGTTTTTATCTGTCTGGACAGTTTTTATCAGTCTGGACTGTTTTTATCAGTCTGGACTGTCTTTATCAGTCTGGACAGTTTTTATCTGTCTGGACAGTTTTTATCAGTCTGGACTGTTTTTATCTGTCTGGACAGTTTTTATCAGTCTGGACTGTTTTTATCTGTCTGGACTGTCTTTATCTGTCTGGACAGTTTTTATCAGTCTGGACTGTTTTTATCAGTCTGGACTGTTTTTATCAGTCTGGACAGTCTTTATCTGTCTGGACTGTTTTTATCAGTCTGGACTGTCTTTATCTGTCTGGACTGTCTTTATCTGTCTGGACTGTCTTTATCTGTCTGGACTGTTTTTATCTGTCTGGACAGTTTTTATCTGTCTGGACTGTTTTTATCAGTCTGGACAGTTTTTATCAGTCTGGACTGTTTTTATCTGTCTGGACAGTCTTTATCAGTCTGGACTGTTTTTATCTTACTGGACTGTTTTTATCTGTCTGGACAGCTTTTATCAGTCTGGACTGTTTTTATCTGTCTGGACAGTTTTTATCAGTCTGGACTGTTTTTATCTGTCTGGACAGTTTTTATCAGTCTGGACTGTTTTTATCAGTCTGGACTGTTTTTATCTGTCTGGACAGTTATTATCTGTCTGGACTGTCTTTATCTGTCTGGACTGTTTTTATCAGTCTGGACTGTTTTTATCAGTCTGGACAGTTTTTATCTGTCTGGACAGTTTTCATCAGTCTGGACAGTTTTTATCTGTCTGGACTGTTTTTATCTGTCTGGACTGTTTTTATCAGTCTGGACAGTTTTTATCAGTCTGGACAGTTTTTATCTGTCTGGACAGTTTTTATCTGTCTGGACAGTTTTTATCAGTCTGGACTGTTTTTATCAGTCTGGACTGTCTTTATCAGTCTGGACAGTTTTTATCTGTCTGGACAGTTTTTATCAGTCTGGACTGTTTTTATCTGTCTGGACAGTTTTTATCAGTCTGGACTGTTTTTATCTGTCTGGACTGTCTTTATCTGTCTGGACAGTTTTTATCAGTCTGGACAGTTTTTATCAGTCTGGACTGTTTTTATCAGTCTGGACAGTCTTTATCTGTCTGGACAGTTTTTATCAGTCTGGACAGTCTTTATCTGTCTGGACAGTTTTTATCTGTCTGGACTGTTTTTATCTGTCTGGACAGTTTTTATCTGTCTGGACTGTTTTTATCAGTCTGGACTGTTTTTATCTGTCTGGACAGTTTTTATCAGTCTGGACAGTTTTTATCTGTCTGGACTGTTTTTATCTGTCTGGACTGTTTTTATCTGTCTGGGCTGACTCGTCACCTGTTCTGGATCAGGAAGTATCTGACGGGATCGTTGGCGCCGGGGGAGTTTGTGACGTAGCAGTTTTCCAGCAGGAGCACAAAGCGGTTGTTGTCATAGTTCTCCACGGAGACGCCGACGTGCAGGGCAGAGCCGAGCGGCAGGCTGACTGGGCCGGTGGGGAACGGCACACTGTAGTCCGGCATCTCGTACAGAGTCATCGAAGCTCTGGTGGGTTCACCTGAATGCACGACCCCGACTCTGTGACGCCTGATGAGGGAGGAGACGTCATACGTGTTCATTCAGACATATTACCAGAAAAAACCCAAGAGAAGACGCACAGGTGAACTGAAATGACTCGACACTCACAGACTAAACAAAAACTATAAACCTGAATTTCTTCTGCTTAAATTACCTTTAATTTATCCATTAATAAGGATGAGTTACTTCATGTGTTCATTCAGGGATTTCAATTTAAGATGTTTTTGAAGGGTTTTAGTTTTTCAAAATAAAAGACAAGCAAAGGATCCCTGAGTACAAACACACAGATTTAGATTGAGAAGTTTCAAGGGGAGTTCAGGGTTAGCTGTGTTGTTCCACAGGGAGACACTCTATCCTGGTCAGAGAAGTCCTGCTCTGTGATTGGCTGACAGGTGTCTGTTTACCTCAATCATAGTAACAGTCACAACAAAAAAAACATTGTCAGTGTCAATTTCCTGACACTATCAACGTGCGTTCCTCTGGAGAAATATGGAGCATGCGCCCTGGCAAAAAACTCTGCCTGCACAGCTGAACACGCCCCTTTTATGCGAACGTGCACCAACTCCAATTAAGTTAACACGGACTCAACTAACCAACATCTTATCCAACTTCGTAATACACTTTAACTCCAGTGTAGCGGTCAGAGTTTGCCTGATAACCCCAAGTTAACTCTGAGTAGGTTAAACTCCCTTCATAGTACAGGCCATGGTTCTCTTGATATTTATTTAACAAACAAAAAGGGATACTGGCAGAAGTGAAAACAGAGATCCAAGTCATCAAATCCAAAAACTAGACAGAACAAAGCAGGGAGCTGGCAGGAACGACAACGAAGGTCTCACAAGGACTGAACAGCAAGGGACAATATACAGAGGCAAAAACAAGCGAACAGGTGAAACACATCAGGACAATCAGGAAACAAAGATAGACATAGCTAACAGACAAAGACAACTTCAAAATAAAAGAGGAAAAAGGCAGAGCCTGACCGTTCAGGTCAACAGTTTAACCATTAAACTGCAGGTAACGAACACCACTGACGCTTCAGATAACTCGCTGGTTAAACACTTTAAAACATCTCACAGTACAAACACACTGATACAGGGGAAGGTGAACTCACGGCAGCTGGTATCGAATGGCGGCGTCGAGGCTGGTGATGTCATCCAGCGGGAAGACGCAGGAGAAAGGGAAGCTCATAGGGATGGAGAGCGAGACGTTGGTCCGACCGGAGGGGTACACAAACAAAATGTTGGAATATGTAATGTGGGAGCCGTTTGTCTGATGGGAAAGAGAAGACCAGCTGAGGAAATCAGTGGAAATTACTTTGACATTTGTCGTCGGTTCGATCCCCCTCCTGTCCACATGTCGACGTTTCCTTGGGCAACACACTGAAAACCAAGTGGCTCACGATGGTTGGCAGCACCTGCGTGGAAGCTCGCTACCATCGGTGAGCAGCAAAAACCTTGTGAAGCGCTTTGGATAAAAGCTTGTAGCCATTTACCATTTCAAAAGTCTACAGCCATGCTACCAAGCTGTACTTCAGCTAACACCTACATTAGCATACTAACAGTCTCACAATGACAACATGCTAAAGGTGTAATTTTTACAATGTTCACAATCTTAGTTTAGGATGTTAGCATGCTAACATTAGTTAATTAGCAGTAAACTCAGCTGAGGCTGACCTGATGATGGCGCTAGAGGAAAAGTCAGAGGATCACCAAAATTATTCCAGTTCATCCTTAGGGGAACATGAAGGTCTGAACCACATTTCATCACAATCCATCCAACAGCAATTGATGTTTCAGTCTGGACCAACGAGGAGGACCAGCAAATTATAGAGCAGCGCTGCCAGCATGGCGAAAACATGTTTGTGCCTTAGTTTGTTTCTATGCAGCCTTTAGATTGTCCAAACATAAAGCAGTCTTGTGTATAATGATGTGTGACCACAGGCTGTATAAAAGAAATGAGTGTAGCCGCTGTCACGTCACCAGCCAGTTTTGGACTGCCATGGTGAAGCCTCGAGACTGGCATTTTGGCCGTTGTCATCTTGCTTTTTTGGAACCAGACGTAACCATATTTGGATAAGAGGGTGGTGCTTGCTAGCTTGGTTAGCAAGGTGCATCTGTAATTCAGCTTAAAACAAACAGCCAACTCCTTAGAGTGTTTTTTAGTGAAACCAAACGCTGAACAAGATGTTTTTAGAACCAAACTGTTCCAGTTAACCTTCATGATCTGTAAACACACTGTGAAAGGGTCAAAGCTCTGAGACAAAAACAAAGACAGCAACCAAAAACAGGTTCACAGCTGATTAAATTCAGCGCCGTTAACCGCAACCCAAAGAGCAAAACTGCTGTGGGCCCCACATAGGATTAGTCATGGTAGATCTAACCAAACTCACCTCCACCAAGTTTCCACAGACACCGTTCCTTCGCTCCACCAGGTACCACATGGCCTCCTGCTGGTCGACCTGCTGGTGGCAGCGCGGGTCGATCAGGTGAGCGGAAGAGGCGTTCAGCCCTCGGTCCTCCAGCAGCCTCTTCTGGACCGTCAGACGCAGGTGATCCCGTCCACACACCAGCTCCGGCTCCTGAAAACCACCGAGTTCTGAAACACAAGACAACCCACATGAAACACAGCAGGAACAAGGCATTGTGGGTATGAAAGTCAAACCATCACAAGCACACAAGTTAGTAAACTTTTTTCAATAGATGAAATGGTAAATCAACATTATGACACCTACCTACCTTTCCCATCGTTAGAGCTAACCTGCTAGCTGCTAACCTGCTAGCTGCTCTTCAGGTAAACGTAACTAACCTGAACAGATGACACCGGCATCTTCGCCATGGTTGCAGTTGTGAGTGCCGAACCCTGGATGGCTACATTCAGATAACGAAGGCTCTCTGCCCGTACAGGCAACATCATCCATCCAGATCGGTCCGCTGCCCTGTCCAAAGCTCGCGGACATGGTTGCCGACTGGGCGAGGCCACAGCCCCGCTGTCTGCAGACCACCTGGGCGTCGTTTAAATCCCAGCCATCGTCACACACCGTTCCCCACTGGCCGGTATGCAGGATCTCCACTCTACCAGAGCACGGAGTGTTACCGTTCACCAGCCTCAGCCGAAAGTTGACAGCTAAACATTAAAACAGAGAGACAGAAAGCAGCTTGTCCCCACATGTACAGTCAACAAGACAGGAAACACTTGTTCACATCAAACAATAATAAACAGCTGTATATTCACTCTCTCTTCTGTCAGGCACAAAGTCACGTGACAGCGCTGGAAGTGTCTGACAAACAGACAGACCAGCTAACGTTAGCAAGACTGACCAGAGAGAGACGCACTGCAAGCTCGCACCTCAATTTAACATTACTGTTATCTTCTGACGTCAAACTTGGACACACAAGTTAACATGATAACTGTTCTCACAATTCACTCTCATGGAGCTTTTTTTACCTCTTAAACACCTGTTTTGAGATGGTTGCCTTATACAACTTGAGTGTAGGGCTGGACCCCATTATTCAAATATTCGACTGTTGGGTTCACATTCGATGTTCAGATTTGATTATTGAGGGGGTTTTTCGCACGCCTGACCTCCGCCGACAGCAGTGAACGCAACGCTCCAGTTAACATCAAAGGGAAAACTAAACGAAGCCCTCAGCTGTGTGGGAGCACTTTAAACTGAGTGATGACTGCAGTAGTGTGGAAGTTATGGCGTTTACTAATTTTACAATTGCTTAATTTCATTACAGATCAAAACAGTCAAATTTCCTACATTTTAAAATTAATCATTAAACTGTAGGCTGGAAACAAACAGCAACACAATGAACGCATTTAAATAAGCCTAATTATATGAGACCGATTGTAGAAGAAGAGCATTTTGTTGCTATAATTAAATGGACTGACGACCTGTCCAGGGTGAACCCCGCCTTTCGCCCGATGTAAGCTGGGATTGGCTCCAGCCCTCCCGCAACCCCGTGCGCAGGATAAGCGGTTAACGATGGATGGATTTACTTCCGCTACTGGAAACACCGCTCTACTTGCGTGTTGAGCTATAGGGCCATTCGCACACGTGCACCAATTCATAACAGAAGTTCTCCCATCTGGTGCTCCTAGTTTAAAAATTTAGTATGCTTTCTCTAAAAATGCGACCACATGGTCGCAGTCTGGAGCCCCGACTTCTGACTCTTAATGTTTAAAGGTCCTCCTTGACCCTTTAAAGAACTTTTACAAGGATATGTGGGTACGTAAGTTTTAGGAACCTCTAGAAGGACTCTCTTTGAGGACCTGTGGGGGTTCCACATGTCATTAAGAAGTTATAGAGGTCCCCATAACTTCTTTATGACATGTGCGACCCCTTAAAGTACCTCTCTTGAAGAATCTCTTGAAACACTTAAAGAATATGTGGGAACCACCAGACTCTCTTCAGGACCCATGGAACTCCCTTGAAGATCTGTGGAAACCCCTTAGGAACCACTAACTCCAACTCTGAAGGGCCCTCAGAAGAAAGACCTATGTCATTTCCTGAAGGATCTCTACGAACCCATGAAGGACAAGTAAAACATCCTTAGAACTTGCAGAATTACTAGAAAGACCTATAGCTTGTAGAACCTCTTTAGAGACCCAGTGTAACCTCTACAACACAAGAACTTTGGTTAGAACCTCTTTAACTGCCCGTGACAACACCTTTAGTACACCTGGTCAAGGATGGTCAGCTATGAGCCACAGAAAGCCAGTTCAGGAAACTCTTTTGGTCACGAGGAACCTCCCAAAAGACCATGGAACCTCAATGATCTGAAACCCTTGGTTCCCGTGTTTTTTGATCCCAACAGAGGACGAGGTCACTCACCCTGACGTTCACACCTCCAGGTGATCTTGTCGTTGCTCACACAGGTCTCACCTTCAGCACAGGTATTACACACCATGGTGTTGACATCTGATGAGGAGCACAACACAACAGAGTCCACTAGAGAAAGAAACCTTGACACTACACAGTATAACTCCATGGATACCTGTTGCTTACCTGCGCAGTAAGCTAACCGACACAAAGTCGGGCTTACGAACTTGTACACGTAGTATTTTCCTGGGCAGGCTTTCACGTGGATGGGGTTAGACTGAAACTGGCAGCAGCCTCTCTCCCAGCTGCCACAAACCTCTGCCGGTATGATGCCATCTGACTGCAGCGGGTGGGCGGTCCTCAACCACAGCGGAGCATCAGTCCCACACATGTGGCTCTCAATGCATCTCTCTGGCATCTGAACACTGCTGTTACCGATGAACAGGCGGTACCAGCCCTGCCAATCTGTACGGCTGTCGCAGGCCACTGACCCCGGGGCCGCCCTGACGTCTGTGGCTCGCCAGGTGTCTTCTAACGCAGAGTAGTGCTGACACGGGTCGATGCAGCGAGACGCGCCGTTCACCTGGAGGCAGTCCTGACCGAAAGGGCACCGTGCGCTCTGGCATACAAACGTCACTGAGCGCAGTTTGGTTTTGGTAGCGGTGCGACTTTGTAGATCGGGGGTCAGCAGGCAGTTGAAGGAGCCTGGGGTGTTTTCGCAGAGATGGCCGGGACCACAGGGAGGGCGGGGCAGCGAACACTCATCGATGTCCACGCAGCCCTGCAGCGGCGACCATTGGTAGCCTTGTCCACAGCAGCCATCGTTGCAGGTGGTTTTGTTGTAGCAGGTGAAGCCATCTCCCACCACACCGTCCTCACAGCGGCAGGCCACGCCCACAGCTTCCACGCTGTTGTCCTGGATGGAGGCGTGGCATCGAGCCAGTCTGTGACAGGCCTCACAGCTGGTGGCTACAGACCCTGAGGAGGTTAAACGATCTCTCTGACATACGTGACTGCCAGAACATTGTGGTAACTCTCACACGGTGAATCATTACAGCCACATTTAGTTACAACCACTTACTTCTTCTTTTTAACCCAAGAGCGCTGACAAGTTTTAGATTTTGAACTCAACTGAATGAGTTTTTGAAAGTTAAATTTGCATTAACTCATTGTGTTGACTCTTTTGGCAGATATGTATGTGTTGATTGAAAAACATTGCCAACGATCTTATACGTGTAAATGAAACAAATTTTGAATTTAAATCCTCTTAACTTGAAACAGAAAGTATTATATTATAAATGTTTGTCTTTTTTATATTATATCACAGGTGTATCACATTATATATACACATTATAAATGTGGTTAAGTTGTTTTAACTTGAGTTAACTTAAGGGAAGTTTTCTTGCTTTGATTTGATAATAATTATTTGTTTTAACTCAAAGTATGAAGTTGAAACAAGTTCTAAAAAAGTTCAATCAACTGAAAAAACAACGCTGTGGACTCACCTGTGGACTCAGCTGAACAGGCAGCCATGACGAGCAGCAGGAGCAGAGAGATGAACCGGTGGAACATTTTCAATCACCAAACTGTGACAGCTGGAGGTGAAAACAACAGGTTCACTCACCTGGTTAATATTCTGCTCACAGCACCTGTTTCTTTCACCGTTACCTCCAGATCACAATGAAGTGTTTTCTTTTTCTCTGTACAATTTTATCATTACATTTATTCATTTAGCTGATGCTTCTATCCAAAGAGACTTACAGCTGCTCTACATGTCAGAGGTCAGAGTCAAACCTCTGGAGCAACGAGGGGTTAAGTGTCTCGCTCAGGGACACAATGGTGGATGTGTCACAGTGGGGGATTGAACCTGGGTCTCTCACACCAAAGGCATGTGTCTTAATTTTCTTTATGCCTGCTCAGGATTATCAAACTCTCATCTTTATCGATCGATTGAATGTAGCTGATCAAATCATTCATTTAATAAATCTGTGATTACATTCATAAAATACTAATTTAAGCTACTTATTATATTCAGAGTAATTCACTTCATCCCAGTATAGAACCTAATTTTAAAATCATTACAACACAGAATTATCTGAAACTTTAACTTCATTAATCAGACTCTCGGCTGGCACTGAAGGAACGTCCAACATGAAAACAGATAACGTCCCGTCTGATACAGTAATAAAACCTGGATCCATTTTGTCACTTTGCAAAGTTTGGTAAAAAGCCGAGTATCTGGATTTGTAAAGATCTATTTGGTAATAAACAGAGTTATCTTGTTATTCTTATGGTAGTTGAAATGCATATGTAGATATTCTGTATGTAATTATTTGCGCTCAGTGTCCAGTTTATTAGGTACACCTCGCTAAATCTAATCCAACAGACCTGTATATATATGTGGTGGACAAAATATCAGAAACACTTCTCAGCAGAACAAGCTGGATCCTCCACGATGATCCTGCAGCTGAATCCACACAAACTGAACACTGCAAGCTGCATGAAGGAGGATTTATTACAGGTCTGTAAAACTAAAAACTGGAATCTGCGTTTAGTCATGTTTAATCTTTACCTTTTCTTTCTTCAGGTGTGCAGACTTCAGTCAGTCTTTCTGGGAAGCGGCAGGTGAACTGCAGCTCTGTTGGTGCTAATTGTTGTTGTAAAGCCATAAATTAAAAGAACTGGGTCAGACAAATAATACTGTGTGGAGAGAAAGAGCTCTTTCACTTCGTTCTGGAGAAACTTCTTTTTTGAAACGCTTTCAGACAACATGAAAATCAACTGTTTTTATTTTTCAGTTCCAGCTGAGATTCAGGAAATATGAAGTTTGTTCCACCAACAGAGATCTGTTCTCTAGAACACCTGCTGCTGGGCTCTGTGATTAGGACAGCTTGGTTTATTGGGAACAAAGGTTTCGGCTCACTGACTCATACAGCGGGACAAAATGGCTCCAAAGGAAAAGAGCATGAGATTATTAAAAACTGAAGGACAGCATTCAATCCTGAGCTGTTTCCTCTGTCTGTCCTGTCAAGGTCAGTGTTTTTGTTTGGCTGCTTAAATCTCCCAAAATATTTCAATTCAATTTTATTTACATAGCCCCAGTTGGACAGTCATCTCAGAGCACTTTCATAAAATATTTGCTTTGCATTACTGCGCATGTAAACGTTTAAAATGACTGACAGCTCTCATCATAGGAAAGTCTGATTATTAGGCTGTAGTGAGTTTGTTTCACTGCACACAGCTTTGATTAAAGTCTTTTTTTCATTATAGATCATTAGCTTGTGTGACCGTATTAAATAAAACGTTGGTTGGTGTGAATTACCGTAAATAAACTCTATTTAAAGAAAAAACAATGTGGACCTCAGTAATGTTCTAAACCCTGGTCGGGGTCCTGGCCCTGGGTACCCTTAAGTTAGCAAGAATAAATATGCAACGTCTGGTTAGACTTTCAAAATAAAAGTACGTAATAGTTAGTTAATGTTGCAAAACATTTCAATATGTAAAACTGCATATTGTTAACGTTGTAAAACGTTGCAATTTGGTCAAGTTTAGGAAAAGATTGTGGTTTGGGTTAAAATAATTCCGTCACTTATGTCAGTTAACTTAAGTAATTGAAGTAACTTGACCTGCATAACTTAAATAAAATGTGAATGCTCTGTATTTGTACAGCACCTTTCTAGTCTTTTCGACCACTCAAAGCGCTTTTATACTACCTCACATTCACCATTCACTCACATTCTTTCACTGAGCCTAAGTGCCCAAACATTCACACCATAGACTGTATATAAGAAGTGGACGTAGTCATGGTGACGTCACCCGTTGCTTTGTGGACCGCCCTTTTGAAGCCTCGAGTTTGGCCGATAGGGCGCCGCCATGTCGAGTTTTTGCAACCAGGAAGTGCCCGGAAGTGACGATACGGCGGAGCTAACGGCCGTGTGTGGAGCTAGCTAGCTTAGCTGGGGGCATCTGTAACTCACATTATCTGTCATTTTAACAGGCTGATAAGTTTGTCTAGAGAACAACAGGCTTAAAACTAAATGTTCTCACCAGAGAAAGTGAACAGCCGACTCCTAATAAGCTTTTCGACGGCGCTGGTTAAATTTACACAGAGGCGAGGGTTCGAGTCTCTCTAGCCTGATTGACAGGTCACCATGGTAACGACTTGTCAATCATAGATAACCCCGCCCTGAAGCATACTCTGCTTTGTGGTCTATTTTAAAATAAATGGGACCATAATTTACTAAATGAATCATTTTATATTGAAGAAGACATGAAACTAGTTGACTTTTTGTTTCTCACGGAAAACGAACACCAGGGTGAAATCCCAGCTTCTGGCCCACCTTCCAGCCCCAACCACCTCCGTACTCTTTTCTAGTAAATATCCTGCCCCTGCCTTTACCGTTGGAAACTGACGCTACAGAGCTCCCAGTGACGCCGGTGGGTCCTGACCATGCAGCCACCGTGTGAGGCTTGGAAGTGGGAACGGGATATAAAATCTGCATGTTTAGTCAGCAGAAAAATCTGAAATAGTTTGATGACTTTGCCCCATAAAAAGGTTTAAAAAGCGTTTTTCCCTGCTGGTTATACTTACTATACTGTAGTATGACGGGTGCATTATGTTTCCCGCCTCGGCTGTTAGAAGCAGACTATTGGCTTCCTAGCAGTAGGGGTGGGATATGTGCACGCAACCGCCATCTTTGGTGTTGAGGATATTTGAGGTGGCGTGTCTCCTGTCTTAAAAGGTCTTTGGGTTAGTGTAGGCTGGAGAGATGTTACTAAACTTAGAGCCGTAACATTCTGAAGGTGTGAAAATGAGTCAGAGGTGGAGGAGGCAGCAAGATCACCTGTTCCTGAATGGAAGTCAAAACAATGCAAAACTTCATGATGGACAAATAAATATGCAAAAATCGAAATGTTAAAGATAAAATTTGCATTTAATGACAGACAGAGAAACAGACATGTTTCAGTTAGTGTGATCTGTAACACGTGACGTGTCGTACAGACGGACAGAACCACCGGAAAGGAACCAGAGTTCAGGTTTCCATCCAGGTGTTCAGCAGCTTCAGCAGAGTCAAACAGAAACAAACCCGCTCCCCAGAACAGAAAAACCCAAATCAGACTTATGAAAACATGAAGCGTGTACAGTGCACCCGCCCGGCGCCGCTACAGGATACATGTCAGATATGCTAATGAAGGAGGTGGATCGACCATTCGGGAGGCTGCTGCCGGGTCACACGGGCATCTGCAGATGTGAGTACTCGTCCTGCCCCTCCTTCTCCTCCAGGTGAGGCTCTGCATCATCAGCATCCAGCTGCAGGACCAGAGGTCAGAGGTCAGTAAACAGTTCTGCAACACACAGTGCTCGTCCACCATTGGCTCACGGTTCGATAACTTTTTTAGGACAAGCTCGATTTGCAAACCTGGAAAAACCGTCAGTGAGATTATCTGCTGTGTTTTTAGGTTAAACGCTACTAGCATAGCATCACATCGCTGACTTTGACACCTCCTGCTGTCACTACATGTTCTTTACATCAGCTGTGAGCCGTGTTAGCAGCGCCCTGTCCTGCACGCCGCGCTAATGGTGACCACTTCATAGTGAACGAGGTGTGACTCACACTCTGCAGCTCCCTCCAGGTGAAGAGGCGGGGCAGCAGCAGCATCCTCACCGGGATGGTCAGAAGCAGCATGAAGGGGAACGCCAGAGCTGCTGCCGTCGCCATGACCACCCACAGGAGAGACAGACAGGTCAGCTGGACGAGAGTGAACAGGTGCATCCTTAACGTCCTCACCTGTGAGAGGGCGGAGTCACAGAGAGACAGGTGAGACGGAAACAGGTACGGTGATGTTCAATAGTCCAAGTCAAGATCAACAAGTCCCAAGTCAAGGGCTCATGAGTCAAGTCCAAATCAAGACCAACAAGTCCCAAGTCAAGTCAAGGACTCATGAGTCAAGTCCAAGTCAAGACCAACAAGTCCCAAGTCAAGGGCTTATGAGTCAAGTCCAAGTCAAGGGCTTATGAGTCAAGTCCAAGTCAAGGGCTTATGAGTCAAGTCAAGACCAACAAGTCCCAAGTCAAGTCAAGGACTCATGAGTCAAGTCCAAGTCAAGATCAACAAGTTCCAAGTCAAGTCAAGGACTCATGAGTCAAGTCCAAGTCAAGATCAACAAGTCTCAAGTCAAGTCAAGGACTCATGAGTCAAGTCCAAGTCAAGATCAACAAGTCTCAAGTCAAGTCAAGGACTCATGAGTCAAGTCCAAGTCAAGATCAACAAGTTCCAAGTCAAGTCAAGGACTCATGAGTCAAGTCCAAGTCAAGATCAACAAGTCTCAAGTCAAGTCAAGGACTCATGAGTCAAGTCCAAGTCAAGATCAACAAGTCCCAAGTCAAGATCAACAAGTCCCAAGTCATGCCAAGGACTCATGAATCAAGTCCAAGTCAAGGACTCATGACTCAAGGCCATGTCAAGATCAACAAGTCCCAGGTCAAGTCAAGGACTCATGAGTCCAGTCCAAGTCAAGACCAACAAGTCCCAAGTCAAGGACTCATGAGATAAGTCCAAGTCAAGACCAACAAGTCCCAAGTCAAGTCAA